AGTGGTTTACTACCTATAGAAGCACTGATGGTGGAACCGTGTTGATGGGTAATAACCATTCCTGTAAAACGACGTGGCTCGGTTCAATTAGAATCAAGATGTTTGATGGAGTGGTTAGAACATTGATGGATGTTAGACATGTTCCTGATTTGCTGAAGAACCTTATCTTTGTTGGTGCTTTAGACTCCGGTGGTTGCAAGATTGTAACATGGAATGGAGTAAAAAAGGTTGTTCGTGGTTCTTTGATTGTGATGAAGGGTATTCGTGAAGGCAATCTGTATGCTCTTCAAGGTACTACAGTTACAGAAGATGTAGCGGTTGGAACAAGTGGAAGTGGCGGAGACCCATGTAAGTGCACTTGGCTATGGCATAGGAGGCTTGGGCATATGTCTGAAAAGGGGCTAGATTTTCTAGTCAAGAAAGGTTTGCTAAAAAACTTGAAGAAGCCTTGCATGGATTTTTACGAGCATTGCGTGTATGGTAAAGCACACCGATTTCAGTTCCAGCCAAGCAAACATAGAAGCAGAGGTATTCTAGACTATGTGCACACGAATGTATGGGGTCCGACTTCTGTCACTTCCAAAGACAGTTTCAGGTATTTTGTCACATTTGTTGATGATTATTCTAGATATGCTTGTATTTATTTTTTGAAGTATAAGAATAAGGTATTCGACACTTTCAAGAAGTGGAAAGCAATGGTTGAAAATAGAACACGAAAGAAATTGAAGACACTGCGATCTGATAACGGTACTGAGTATACAGATGGTGCTTTCAAGGAGTTCTGTGGTAAGGAAGGCATTGCGAGACACTGGACAGTTAGGAATACACCGCAACAGAATGGGGTCGCAGAAAGACTGAATCGCACATTTTGAGAGAAATCGATGTGTATGCGATCCTATGTTGGTTTGGGCAGAGAATGGTGGGCAGAGTTGGTTGCAAATGCTTGCTACACTGTGAACTGATCTCCACATTCAAAGTTAGATGGAGATGTACCTTACAGGGTATTGATAGGAGAACATGCAGATTATGAGAATCTCAGAATATTCGGATGCACAGCCTACTATCACGTCAACGAGGGAAAGCTTGATGCAAGGGTCAAGAAGGCTATATTCTTGGGGTATGCGGCAGGTGTAAAAGGCTATCGCCTATGGTGTGTAGAGGATTCTAAGTTCATAATCAGTAGAGATGTTACTTTTGATTAGAACTCTATGATAGCTTCGTTGAAAGCTATAGTGCCCGGTGGTGTGATGTTGAGACTACAAAGTCTCAAGTTGTTAAAATAGAACTTAGAGATCAACCTAATTCTAGTCATGTTCAAAAGGAGATTCATGTAGACACTCAAGATGAGAGTGATGATGAGCTTGAACAAGAGGTAGTTCAGCAAGAGAATGAATAGGCACAGCAACAACATCAGCTTGCAGATAACTTGGCTTCCTCTAGGCCACGGCGTACTTACAAGCAAGTTCTAAAGTTGGGGTCAGACGAGCCTTGAGGCACTATGGGTAGACAAATTTGGTTGAGTATGCACTCTCGATGGAGGATGATGAGCCTGCCACTTTCAAGGAAGCTATTTTAAACAACAATAGTGAGAGGTGGTTGGCAGCAATGGAAGAAGAAATGGAATCACTTCACAAGAAGCAAACATGGGAGGTTGTCCCATTGCCTATAGGTAAGAAAGCTATTGGTTGCAAGTGGTTGTACAAAAAGAAAGAGGATCCTATCAAGCTCGGTGGTACAAGATTCAAAGCACGGTTAGTGGCTAAGGGGTTTGCACAAAGAGAGGGAGTTGACTACAATGAGATCTTTTCTCCGGTGGTCAAGCATACTTCCATTCGGGTGCTATTGAGTATTGTTGCTCATCATGATCTTGAGCTGGAACAACTCGATGTCAAAACCGCCTTCTTGCACGGGGACTTGGATGAGGAAATCTATACGCATCAACCTGAGGGCTACAAGGTTGAGGATAAGGAACGTCAGGTATGTCGCTTGAGAAAATCACTATATGGATTGAAACAATATCCTTGGCAGTGGTACAAGAGATTTGACTCCTTCATGCTAAAGCATGGTTTCTCTAGAAGTGAGTATGACTGTTGTGTTTATATTCGAAAACTTCGGGAAGGTAACTATATCTATTTTTTTTTGTATGTGGATGACATGCTAATCGCTTCGAAAAGCAAGGTGGAGATAGATAGGTTAAAATCTCAACTTGGTAAAGAGTTTGAGATGAAGGATATGGGGGCTGCTAGGAAAATACTGGGTATGGAGATCAGAAGAGAGAGGACGAACCGGCGAATGTTCTTGAGTCAGAAAGGCTACATTGAGCGGGTTATTGCTAGGTTCGAGTTGCAAGGTGCAAAGTCGGTGGTGACTCCATTGGCTCCACATTTCAGGCTCTCTGGTAAACAATCTTCTACTACAACGGATTCAGCGAATGTTCTTGAGTCAGAAAGGCTACATTGAGCGGGTTATTGCTAGGTTCGGGTTGCAAGGTGCAAAGTCGGTGGTGACTCCATTGGCTCCACATTTCAGACTCTCTGGTAAACAGTCTTCTACTACAGCGGAAGAAAAGGGACGCATGGATCGTGTGCCTTATGCTAGTGCAGTTGGTAGTTTGATGTATGCCATGGTGTGTACATGCCCAGATATTTCACAGGCGGTTAGTGTGGTCAGTAGATTCATGGCGAATCCGGGGAAAGCACATTGGGAAGCTGTGAAGTGGATCATGAGGTATTTAAAAGGTACCGTAGATAAGGGTTTATGTTTTGGCGGAGAAGCATGTCAGATAAGTGGGTTTGTGGACTCAAATTATGCAGGTGATCTAAATAGACGATGATCTACTACTGGATATGTGTTTTGCATACATGGTGCCCTAGTTAATTGGCGATCGATGTTACAGGCTACAGTGACTCTTTCTACTATAGAGGCCGAGTATATGGCCATGGCGGAGGGAGTGAAGGAAGCATTGTGATTGTGAGGTCTTCTAGATGATTTGGAGATTGAGCAGGATTGTGTGGACTTGTGGTGTGATAGCCATAGTGCTTCACAGGCGGTTAGTGTGGTCAGTAGATTCATGGCGAATTCGGGGAAGGCACACTGGGAAGCTGTGAAGTGGATCCTGAGGTACTTAAAAGGTACCGCGGATACGAGTTTATGTTTTGGTGGAGATGCATGTCATATAAGTGGGTTTGTGGACTCGGATTATGCTGGTGATCTAGATAGACGACGATCTACTACTGGATATGTGTTTTGCATACATGGTGCCCCAGTTAGTTGGTGATCGATGTTACAGGCTACAATTGCTCTTTCTACTACTGAGGCCGAGTATATGGCCATGGCGGAGGGAGTGAAGGAAGCATTGTGGTTGTGGGGTTTTCTAGATGATTTGGGGATTGAGTAGGATTGTGTGGACTTGCGGTGTGATAGCCAGAGTGCGATTCACTTGGCTAAGAATCAGGTTCATCATGCTCGAACCAAGCATATTGACGTCAGGTATCATTTTGTGCGTGATGTCATAGAGGAATGTGATATTTCACTCTCAAAGGTACACACAAATGAGAACCCAGCAGACATGTTAACTAAAGTGGTAACGGGTAGCAAGTTTCAGCATTGCTTGGACTTGCTTCACATTAGTCCGTGTTGATATGCCCGTGTGGGCATGGCCCTTTAGGGCGGGGTTGAAATGAGGTGAAGAGTATATGAAGATGGAGGTGAACTACGGAAGCTTGATCCCGAGTTTTGGGTACATAGGCAACCATGGTTTGAATGGTGCAACCGAGTTTGGCGCTTGTTGCTTCTTCTTGTGTTCGTCCAAAATTTGAGGTCTATCAAATGATATACGAGGTGGAGAATTGTGAGAAATGGAGTAGCAGGAAGCAGAAACTGGGCGCTTAGGCGCCATGAGTTTCTGCAAAGTGGGCAGAAACTTGGCGCCTAGGCGCCCGATTCAGCTATATATATAGCTGATTTTTCCTTTCATGATCTATCCGATTTTTTGATAGAAAAATAGAGAGAGCTTGGAGAGAATTTAACAAGAAAGAGGTTGTTCTTCTTGAGTATAAATTCAAAGCTATTTTTCTTTCTTGGGGATTAACTTGAGGATTGTTCAAGTAATCCAATCCATTGTTCTTCATATATATTGAAAATCTTTTCTTCCCCAAATTTTCTTATTTCTCTTTTCATCTTCAAGTGGTTTGGGATTTTCACATTGCAAGTTTATTTGTTCTTGGGCAATAGTTAGGAAGTGTTTCTTACCAACATCTTTCTTCTTAATGCTACACCTTTTTTCTTAGAAGTATTTCATGTGCTTTAGTATACCTGAATTTATTGACTTACTCATTAGATTAGATTCGTATCCAACAAGGATAGTAAAAAATTCATATTTTTTCTGCTCATAATTAGGCTTGATACAACGTGAGAGATGAGTTTTCCACCAAACTGTGATGTTGCTGTGACTTTTTAGGTAGTCTGCAATTTCCACTCATTTTGGAGTACTACTGAATTCCTCAACTTTTTAATTCTTACTGTATCGTATACTTGTGACATCCTACATTGGTCTCAAAACTTCATATTTTGATCTATATTCGATGCAAGATTTATCCCTTTACAGTTTGTAAGGGTTTTCACTAATGAAATTACAGTATCTTTACATATAGTAAATTCTCTAGAACAAATTTTCTTAGTTAACAAATTCACATATTTTGTCTAATTTAAGTCGGACGGCAACAAAATACCAATTTTTTTTATCCGAAGTGCTGACCAACTAAATTCTTTAATAGCACATTTGAATATGATCTGAATTTGTCACGTCTATTTGTGACGTTCGATACACTTGACTGGATAGACAACGAACAAATATTTAACTCGTCTATGATATTCTTCAATCAGCCTAATTCATCTCATAGAACATGCCGGCCGTGTGCAATTTCAACCCAATTCGACACGTTAATCCTTGACCCATTCTATTTACGGGTAAATTTCTTTAGAAGTTTTAACAGTTAGATTTGAATAAATTCACAAATTTTCTTGTGCATGTCAAGTTCAACTTTTTACGAGGGCTCGGTCACGCAGCCCTGGGTGGCCACACCTGTTGACAATATTACAAGCATAAACCTCATTCTCAAATTCAATTCTAAACAGAAGTCATGACAATACTTCTTACAATCTACATAGAAATAACAAAAAACACACACACGTGCACTTGAACAGAAGGTAAAATGTTGAATTGAAGCAAATGGTGTCACCTTATACATAAAGGAAAATAAATTAAAAGTACGGTCGGACCAATGATAGACAATGTGTAAGGATATACTTAGGCATTGATGTCAACAAGACTGTTCTAATTACCCATTTGATAGATCAAGAGATGCACGTACAAAATTTTGAAAACCCCATCAACTGAACTAATAAAGTTCTTACTGGCATCAGAACTGTACTGGTACCAAAATTGATCGATTCTGCAGATATCCAAGAATATGTAAACAATATTTCACCTCCGGGCACAAGTTTTTTCTCCTCCCCAATGCATCAGGTGCACATGAGAGCCAAACAGGCTTTCGCATTGGTAGAATCAATTGTTTGCTCCATCTTCAATACTACAAAGGAACTTCCATGTCAAAGGGACGCAAAATATGCTCTTCTTGCCTGAAAGGAAGAAAATGATACAAATCAAAAAGTGCCTTCGGTACCAAATCCTAGAAATACCGCAGCAAAAACACTATTTGAATCACATTGTCAGGTCATAATGTGTCTGTCTTTGGTGTTTGACTATGTAGCTTGGACTTGGGTGTGGGTGTTTGAGGTGGTGGATACTTTTGTTCTAAAGTCTAGGATATGGTGGATGCATCTAAAAAGGATCCAAAATATAGATAAGGGTATGTAGATACATCTTATGAAGTAAAATTCATATACAAATAATTTTAGATACATTTTTAGGGATGTGAACAAGATAGTGCATTTTTGGCTATTTATTTTTCCAAACATGTTTGAATATGTTGCTCTTTTTATTATTTTAAGTAAAACATTAGTTATTTTGAAAGTAACCCTCCTCTTACTGTCAGAATAAATTCTCATTTTCAATTTTGATTGATTAAAGAAATTATTTATTTTAAAACTAACTTTTTTACTTCTAAGCGAACTTCTTATACCAAGTTTCCACTGTATAATAAGACGTTTCCAGCTCTTTAATAAGAGATTATAGAATTAAAACCTGATGGACAGTCTTCAAGCATGGTACTCATTTGGTTTCCTCCAAAACTACTACTTTCTTGTCTGCGATCATATTTTCTAGTTGTGACCGCTTTGTCGACCTAATATCAAGTATACTGGGCGGCATTGGTTGAAGTGAACCATGCAAATCGACTAAGTTGAAGAATTCCCGCTTGGTCAAACTCTTCTTCTGAACGAGATTATCGACAACAGCATCCATAAGTTCTCGATTTTGCTGAAGAATCTGCTTAAAAGTAGAGCAAGCTCTTAAAAACTTCTTAACGAATAAAATATTTTATTGCTGTTTAGCCATTCTATAACATACCATTTTTGCACGATCGTAACACATATTTAGGATCCGCAATGCCTCTGTATCAATATCCTGAAAATCAAAATTGCATGCCAGAAATCAGGCAGTGATAGTCATAAAAACAAGGTAGAGCCAAAACGAAGAATATGTAAAATATATAAAAGCCAGATACAGAAAAGAAAAACGAAAAAAGGACAAATACGAAAGCAGAAAATTTCCCTCCATTTCCAGCTCCTAGTATCCGCTTGGACCATGAGATCATTTTCAGACATTAAGATAGAGCCAAATAATAAAGTTGAAGATATCAGATTACCAAAACTTGCACTTGCTCAAGGACATCAAAATTTTAGAAATAGAAATTAAAACTATTGAAGAAGCCCAAGGCATATCGAAGTTTACATTTATCCTATCTGCAGTCCAGAAGTTGTTCAGACCATAATGTCTCTCAGAAAGGCCACCAAGAACCAAAGTCCGTGCAGCTGACCTAGCATTGTCTGCAGTCTCTGCCCATATCGTACTCAACTGGAAATTTTCAGAGCATTCGTGAGAAATTATTCCAAACAGTGATAATATTGGACATCTCAGATCAATTTTTTATTGCATTTTTCTTCTTAAGATGACAAGAATAAGGGAACCACTGAATGTTCACATGAAAAGATTCTTGATCAACATGCCAAAATGAGGTATTATTTTCCTTAAAACATCCATTATTATGCCCCTGTCTGGGCTCAATTTTAATTTCAATACATTTTTCTCTTTCTTCCTTTCAACCACACATTCTTCAATAATATAATATCACGCGTAAACACAAACTTTTATTTCTTCTTTAAACACACATTCTCCAAAAAAATTACTATTCCAAAATACATTTTTCTCAAAACCTCATTAAAAGGGAGCCCAAACAAGGGCTATATATCCACTTTTAGCATTCGACATAGTAAGTCCAATAGTCCCATTAATAATTAGAATGATAAGAGTCTCAGGATTAGCACGCTAGAATTGGTGAATTGAAGTTCATTCTCCATAGCATTGACGTAATTTCCGTAAATAGAAATGTTGACAACAACAGATTATGCAAAAACTTCTTGATTTTCCACATTTAGACCTTGTAATAGATAAGAAAAATCTTCACCACAGGCATGTAGATCATTTGGCTTTGTTTGAGAAGAGGACAATCATAAAGAAAATAGGTAAAAACACCATAATTTCGGGCCATCCTGTAAACTAGATTTCCAGTTAGGCCGCTGTCAACAAAAATTTTGCAGAACGAATTGGGATACTACGTACTCCAACAGCAACATATTTTAATATCACAATAACCTCACACCAAATAGATGCGGCAAGAAATTCATAAAATGAAATACGGAAAACGAGACTTGAAAGTCTCATTACCTGACCCTCTCCATACCATAGCTCATCAGCTGCTCGTGGTGCTAGTTGGACTGTAATGTGATCCAAGAGTGATTGCCGACTGCCAAAAAAAAAAAAAATTAAAAAATAATAATAATAAATAAATAAATAAGGACAAAAAAGTGCATATATGAATACATAGAGGACTCAAAGCAGGTTGAATTGTGTAATTGCTATTAACATGTTCAAGAACAACCAGCATGCCACAAAGCATCGAGAAATCATACAGGGAAAAGGTGAAATCGTACCCATAAAAATGCAATTTATTTTTTGGAACGGGGGGCAAGGCGCTTGCTTTGTATTGAAAGCACAAATTAGAAATGGATATTAATTAAGCTCATATTAGAAATGGACAGTAATTACCTTTGTAAAATATATTAAAGTAACCAAATAGAGAAATATTGTACAGCTCATGTGGGAGGAGAAGCCATACCTCAACATTCCTTCCTTGAATTTCACATGGTCCATCTTCATTCGTACATAACCCAATTCCCTTCCAGCTCTTGGGGCAATTGTGACCTGATAACATGAAGCAGTATCAAAGAATCAGAAGTCACCATGATTACAGAACAACACAAAGGAGGAGCAAAAACTTTAGTGATAAAATATCACTACCACAAAATGATGTGCATGGACTTGAAACTATGAAGCTAGCTTAAACTGATCCTTGCCTATTTAATAAGCATGAAGACAAATTAACTACTCCAGAAAGATTAATTGTACCATCATAGATGTAAAAGTAAAATATCGGTTGAGATGCACATGGAAGACCATGAATAGGAAGCTTTGATTATTCATTTTCCTAATAGGGTGCAGTACTTGATGATATATCAATACGGATAATACCCAAAGGAGAACAATGTATACAACTCAAGGTGGGGTTTAAAGTTAGACCAAGGGCTCAACAAGCTCAAGTGTTTGCTGGTATATGAAGCAAGGTTATGCGTGCAAGAGGGTAAAGAAAAAGTTGGGAAGTGAATTGGGGGTTCTATGATATTCATAAATCATATCATGTCGGTCAATTTTTTATTTTTCATATGAAAGTATACAAAAATAGAAATATAAAAGCATATAGTAATAATAGGAAGTGTAGATTGAATAATAATTCCGGAAATTTTAGTGTAGATCATACGAATTCAATATTCCTAAGATCAGGGAAGTTCACAGCCACAACAGCCATTGCTGCTTCATTAATAGCTACTTGTTTCCACGTCTCAGGACTCCTCTCTTTTTTATCAAGCATTCCTCGTTCTTCTATTTGCGCAGCTTGTAACAAGTCATCAGTTGTAATCTGCACAAGAGCAAGAAAGTTAAAATTACACAAAATTTCATGTGCATGTTCATGTATCTCATCATGTGTATGCCAATACGTAAGATTGTAACCAATGTTGTCAGCATCATAACATTGACTCGGATCGATGAAGAGGCATTACGGATTGCATCGAGGATCATAAGATTCTGCTAAAGATTAATAATTAAAATATTCAAAACAGATAAACATCAAATATTCTTAATAAAAAGTTAACAGCTATAACTAACTAAAATCAAATGAGAAAACGAAGGTTGTAACTACTTTACAAAGTTCCACAATTTACAATGCATAATATGTCAAATAAAAACTCAAACATGATGCAAATGTCAAACATATAAGTTTACAACCATGTCGAACATCAAAAACAATGTCTTTGGTGTTGTTTTCGAAGATATCATTCTTATCGAAAAATATCAATGTCTTTCACAACACCGCCAGTATGACTAACTTCATATTTGCTAATTTCAAAAATCTCATCACGTAACCGTAACTAGTCTGTGTATATAGATGCAAGGAGGAAGAAATTGCATGTAAAAGACAATCCAGGACAGAAAATTGGCATATGGACAGATACACACAGTGGCCTCCATGGTTCACTTTTTCATTCTCAAGAACAACATCTAGGAAGGATAAAGTATAAACAGGGAAGCAAAAGGAAAAAGAAGAAAAAGAGAGAACAGGGATTGATGAATGCTCAACTGATATATGCATAGAATCACAGGGAAGCTTAACTGGTTATAAAGAGAAGCCCTTCAAGATTGTATAACCTTCAGAACTTAATGGAAAGACCATAGGCTTACAAGAAATAAGAATGCACAAGTGGAGATTGCCCAACATTAGAGCGTGACTGTATTAGAATTAATAAATTTTTTGCTGCTATCTATAAATTCATTACTTGTAAACAGAAATAGTATAACTATGGTGATTTTTTATTTTTTTTTATTTTTTATTTTGGTAAAAACTCCCTAAAATCCTGTACTTAAAATGGCCTTTTCCCAAAAAAACAAAAATGCAAACATCATTGCAATCTCTAGGCAGAGTACCTCAGTTCTTCCATCACGCATCATATTAATAGCAGCGACCTCAATGATGTTGGCTAGCTCCGCACCAACCATTCCATCAGTCATAGTGGCAACAGCCATATAGTCCACATCCGGTGCCATTGGCTTCTTTCTAGCATGGACCTAATATGAGGGAAAAAAAATTATAAGTTCAAAAAAGAAGATACTATTGATGCTTAAGGCTAAAGAACGATAAATGATAGACTATGACCATTGAGGTTTCATCAAAATGAATTAGCAAGAAAAAAACTGCTAGTTCATGAAATACCAATTTAGCTTGTGTGCATATGAACAAATTGTTTATACATTTTGAGCATCTAGGTTTCATATATAAACTAAGTATACATGGGATATTTCATACCTTTAAAATTTCAATGCGTCCTATAAGGCCGGGCTTTGGAATATATATTTTCCGATCAAACCTTCCAGGTCTCACAAGTGCTGGATCCAAAATGTCGGGCCTGTTTGTGGAAGCAATGGTAATCACTTCACCTCTTCCTTCAAACCCATCCAGACAGACTAGAAGCTGAAGCATAATTGCAATATTAACCATGAATGTGGATCCACACTGTAACAATCTGAAAACTTAGAGAAATGCATTATGCCAAAGAACCTGATTTAAAGTAGCATCCCGTTCTTGTCCACCAGATCCCTTAATCAAACCACGTTCCCTTCCAACAGCATCCAGCTCATCAATGAAGACAACAGATGGAGCCTATGCAATTTACATAACAACGCTCACAAATATTAACATTTTCATGAGATAACCAAATTTTTCACTAGGAAAAACAACTTTGAGAAAGTAATGTGATGTGCTGTAATGTCACTGATATATCAGAGAGAAGTTTACAAGAAATGGGAATAAATGAAGCAAAGATAAAGCATTAGGACTAATTAGCAGCATTAATGTTGATATAAACATCATGGTACACAAGTAAGTCAGTAACACACATATGCAGAATAGAACCTTTTAAATTTCTAAGATAAGAAACCCATAGAAAAATAGAAAACTCACATTTTCCTTTGCTTCTTGATAGAGAGCTCTAACACGCGAAGCACCAACCCCAACATATATTTCGACAAACTGAGATGCAGAAATGGAGAAGAAATTTACACCTGCCTCACCAGCCACAGCTTTTGCTAACAATGTCTTTCCCACGCCAGGGGGACCACAAAGAAGTATACCACCTGAAATTTTTTGTCAACCAATAATACTACCAGATGAGGCATGAGACGGGTAACACAATAATAGTGAGAAAAGATATGAACTTATAAACTGACACGCATCAAGAAAGGTGATTACAGAAACAGCAAGAAACTCTACACTAATTATTAGTTAAATGTAAATTTATTGTGAAAATAAGAACCTAGAGTGATCAAATAAAAGCACCATAAACTCCACTTCTAATATATCTAACAAGTTGTATGAAATACAAAATAACTCTTTCCACAAAAAAATTAACATGTAATGGTATATATGTGACAAAACTAGTATAAAAACCACAAGGAAAGTTCAGAATCAACAGTTTAACATCTTCATTTCCAAATCAAAGAGTAAAACTGATAGCTTTGGGATTACTAGATGTGGTCTCTAGCCATAGTAGTTTCAATTCCAAAAGCAAAACATTAAAACAATAGCTTTAATGTGCATTCAGCAACTCAGGTATGTGATACAAATAAAGCATAGTCGAGCACGAAGGACATCTTGCAGATACAGGTTAAGGACATCATGCAGATACAGGTTCAGATTTCTTAGCAGGACGGACCTTCAACACTAACCAACTAATGAGCATAAACAACAATTGCATCCTTACTGCTCATCAGGAAAACAGGGAACTAGATTTCCTATGTAAAAAATATATACATATCTCAGCAAATCTAAATACATAAATACGATAGAAAACCAACGTCAAAGTTTGTGAAAAGCAATAATCTGACCTGGTATTTTGACTCCACGCCTGCGGTACATTTCTCCGTGGGTGAAGAACTTCACAATCTCCTCAAGCTCAAGACGGATTTTCCCAAGCCCAGCAACATCCGAGAATTTAACATCCACCCCTCTTTCCAAATACTGTGGAAGTCTCTTGTTGTGCGCCCTCCGAACACGTGCACCAGACTTCATGAATTGTTGTGCCATTTTCATATAAGGATTGTCCCCCACCTTTCCTCCTTCCTCATCGTCATCATCATCCTCAATCCCTGCCATTTCTCTCTCCAGCTCCCTCATCTTCTTCTTCTCCTCCGCCTCCGCCTTCTCTATCTTCAATCTATCCTCATAATCCTTCTTCTGCTTCCTATAACTAAGAACAACTGTGCGATAAAATATATAGAAGAAAACCAACCCAAGAGCCGTGGCAATATTGGAATCACTAGCTAATCTCTGCCACATTATTGCCATGTCCTGTGAACTCCTACGTGCCTGGCGCAATGACTCCTCATACTTTATCTTCTTCATCTCCTGCCTCTTTTTCTTCTCCTCTATTTTCTTCTGCATTTTTATGGCTTTCTCCATCATCTCCCTTTCTTCCCTATATTTGTTCAGCTCCTCATTTTTCCTCTGTTTAAACTCCTCTCTCATCCTCTTCAACTCCAATGCCTTTTTCGACTGAGGCTTTGGCTTAACCAATGAAAACATCCATACTGGAATTTTTGATAAGAACCCAAGATAAGGCCTTGGTATTTCAGGCTTTTTCAGTGGTGGACTATAAGCATTAACACAAATTCCATCAACCTTCAGTTCATCCCATTGTTCCCAGAAGTTTGGATCGCTCTCAATAGAAGGCAAAACAATCCTAACAACCTTATTATCCTCCAAGACTGCCAGAACCACCTCAGGCCGCTGCTTCAACTCAGTATTTGGCGGCTTTATAACATGCTTAAGCTTATTTTCCATTTTCAAGTCCAAGATTTCACTATAAGCAAGCCTATGGGATATCGTTGGAAGGTCCTTAACCCAATTTTTCAATTCCTCTGGGGTTAGTGCCTCAGATCTTTTTCCTGAACGCTTCTTTTCAGACACTTTAGCTGCAAGTGAAGGCTGAGGCAGTGAAGCTGAAATTACTGTTAATGTTACAGAAAGCTTCAATAAATTAAACTGGGTTTTTCTGAATTTTGATTGTTCTTCTTTCTCTCCACATATAATGGTGTACCTTCTAGAATGGCATGAAATTGAGGGTAAAGCTTTGAATTTTCGAAATTTATGTTGGGTGCATAGAGGAATTAAGGGTAAGAATGAAGAATTGAGAATACAATTACACGCCATCAAATGAAAATAATTAATTACTCGTAGAATAACACTAGGGCAAGTTTAGAGTAATTACATTATCAAAAAAATCGCTGAATTGGGCTCCAGAGAACATCACAATTTGAAAGAGATTGATTGTTATACATTCCGTTAGTACACGTATATACGAGGTGTATCTATTTATGTAAGTATAGACAGTAGCTTGGGGGTTATAAGTTATTTTATGAATTTGTTTGTCAATTGAAGATCAAGTCGAATAGTGGAATACGAGGTACTACTTCTAACAAGAAGTGAATTATCTCACTCCAACTAAAGAAAAATATATCATTTCCCTAATCAAGTGACTTTATGACATGATCTACTATTTTGATCACCCAATATTGCAAGAGCATATCATGTTAGATCAGTAGCATTTTCAAAATGAAGTTTTTAAAAAGAAATTTCAAATCCAATATAAAAGAAAAAAGTCTACTGATTTTACCTATTCAAGGATAAAAACCATGTACTAATAATTTTTCATGTCACGTAAATATTTTCCATTAATCTTGTTAACATCAATTTTTGTTAATTTAACGAATAGATACAAACAAATGATGATTCTAAAAGGACAAGCACTGTTGAAAATAACGTCTCTTCATCAAGATGTGTGTCTGTTAAAAATTTAGCCCCGATTTGATTTCACTAAAAAAATAATTAAAGTTCAATTCGTAGTCAATAATTATTTTTAATCACATATTTCATAAGACCTATAACTTTTCAATCTTAAATTCCATCAACTTTTATCAAAATATATTAAAAGTCTGATGTTTATCTAAACCGAATGAGGGCTTAAAGTGCAATGCTCCATGTCAAATAGTGTCATAAAATTCTCTAAGGTGCCATGTTGATGTTTCTCATCTATAATCTTGAACAAATAGTAAAATGAAATATTTATTTATTTGAATTTGGTATGACACGGAAGAGATCTTCCACTGGAATGGTGGATTTATTACATATTATAATTCAACTTGCTATTTTACAATAATCATGATAAGTCAGCCATCACTAATTGAACCCTCAAAAAGGAGATGATAAGGGCTCTTTAGCTCTAGATTGGTCAGGGGAATCCATAATACATGAACATTGGAAAGATGTTTCCATAATCTGAGTCTTTTCCTTGGTTTCATCCACCTTTTGTTCAGAAATCACCACTGTCATGTTCTTGATTGCAACAACTGGTTTCAGTCCCTGCATTGATATTGTTAGGGCACGTTTAAACAGTATTCTTCTAGACTAGATGTTGGGGTTATTTGCTGATGATTAAGAACTGTACTCGAACACTGTATACTTAAGTTCTCAAATAATAAAATGAAAATCAGATAGAACAACAGAGATTGGTGATCCAGTTCGGCCAAACATGGCCTAATCTGGGGGCTCAGGAATTGAACCCGTTCTACCATGCAAATTGCCATCCAAGAGACCCAAAGTTATATCAAATCACTCAAAATACACAAGTTTCGATCAAAGGATCTACGAAACGAAACACAAATCATTTCACAACATTTAGCCCTTGCCAATAGTAAATCAAACCAAAAATAACAGAGGCTCAAAATCACGCCTCAAGTTACTGTAGCATCATGATATTACAAGGGCTAATCTAAAACTAGAATTTAATCTGAGAAGTATATAACTAAAACCAAAAAAAGAAGAGAAGAAATCACCAGAAAGAGAGAGGAAATAATTCTGTAACCAAGAAAAATGAAAAGAGTCTTCCATCGTTTTCTCTCCCCAAAAAGTCATATTAGATTCCAAATTAAATCCCAGCCATTCATCCAATTTAGACAAATCTCAACCATCCACAAGAAATACAATCTTTGGCACAAGTAACCATCCATTTGAGGGTTGCCACGTAAGGACCTCTTTAACCCAAATGCAGCTGAGTCAATTGTCAAGAATGACATTAATTTGGAAATGTTTTGAGAAAGACACACTTTCACTAGACAATATAGTACTCGATGGACGTTATCGAGTACTGTAGAGTCATAAACATGGAATTATAAAGCTAAGTAGCTTACGTCGATGAATATGCTCGACACTTCGTCAGCTTCCTTCTTTTGAACTATGTCAATGGCAACTTCCTGCATCATTAGAAGGAACGGAAAATTGTTTATCAAATGTAAAATTCAAGAAATGCACCAAGAAAGATTGGTAGATTAGGGAAACAAAGTTTTGCAATGAGAATTAAAGTGGTTTAATTTACATTTTTATGTTATTTCTAGAGTCAATAGTTGAAATTCGTCCATTTAGCAATTTAATTAACTCTAAAATCAGGTGGTTATTTGATATAGTATTAGAGTTGATGGTGACATAAAAAAATTGCTTATATAGTACATTTCAAGGAGGAAAAAGAAAGTTAGACACAATGATGGGAAGTATACTTTCAATACAAGACATATGAAGCCTAAAACATGAGAGGAAGCGATCTTCAGTACAAGAAATGAAATGATCAAGCACTACGAATGTCATCTAGACACAGGTTTCGTTATCATTTTATCGGACGTGATTATTCAATAGCACCGGATGCTATTAAGATATTAGTAGCATTTTCAAAATGAAGTTTTTAAAAAGAAATTTCAAATCCAATATAAAAGAAAAAAGTCTACTGATTTTACCTATTCAAGGATAAAAACCATGTACTAATAATTTTTCATGTCACGTAAATATTTTCCATTAATCTTGTTAACATCAATTTTTGTTAATTTAACGAATAGATACAAACAAATGATGATTCTAAAAGGACAAGTACTGTTGAAAATAACGTCTCTTCATCAAGATGTGTGTCTGTTAAAAATTTAGCCCCGATTTGATTTCACTAAAAAAATAATTAAAGTTCAATTCGTAGTCAATAATTATTTTTAATCACATATTTCATAAGACCTATAACTTTTCAATCTTAAATTCCATCAACTTTTATCAAAATATATTAAAAGTCTGATGTTTATCTAAACCGAATGAGGGCTTAAAGTGCAATGCTCCATGTCAAATAGTGTCATAAAATTCTCTAAGGTGCCATGTTGATGTTTCTCATCTATAATCTTGAACAAATAGTAAAATGAAATATTTATTTATTTGAATTTGGTATGACACGGAAGAGATCTTCCACTGGAATGGTGGATTTATTACATATTATAATTCAACTTGCTATTTTACAATAATCATGATAAGTCAGCCATCACTAATTGAACCCTCAAAAAGGAGATGATAAGGGCTCTTTAGCTCTAGATTGGTCAGGGGAATCCATAATACATGAACATTGGAAAGATGTTTCCATAATCTGAGTCTTTTCCTTGGTTTCATCCACCTTTTGTTCAGAAATCACCACTGTCATGTTCTTGATTGCAACAACTGGTTTCAGTCCCTGCATTGATATTGTTAGGGCACGTTTAAACAGTATTCTTCTAGACTAGATGTTGGGGTTATTTGCTGATGATTAAGAACTGTACTCGAACACTGTATACTTAAGTTCTCAAATAATAAAATGAAAATCAGATAGAACAACAGAGATTGGTGACCCAGTTCGGCCAAACATGGCCTAATCTGGGGGCTCAGGAATTGAACCCGTTCTACCATGCAAATTGCCATCCAAGAGACCCAAAGTTATATCAAATCACTCAAAATACACAAGTTTCGATCAAAGGATCTACGAAACGAAACACAAATCATTTCACAACATTTAGCCCTTGCCAATAGTAAATCAAACCAAAAATAACAGAGGCTCAAAATCACGCCTCAAGTTACTGTAGCATCATGATATTACAAGGGCTAATCTAAAACTAGAATTTAATCTGAGAAGTATATAACTAAAACCAAAAAAAGAAGAGAAGAAATCACCAGAAAGAGAGAGGAAATAATTCTGTAACCAAGAAAAATGAAAAGAGTCTTCCATCGTTTTCTCTCCCCAAAAAGTCATATTAGATTCCAAATTAAATCCCAGCCATTCATCCAATTTAGACAAATCTCAATCATCCACAAGAAATACAATCTTTGGCACAAGTAACCATCCATTTGAGGGCTGCCACGTAAGGACCTCTTTAACCCAAATGCAGCTGAGTCAATTGTCAAGAATGACATTAATTTGGAAATGTTTTGAGAAAGACACACTTTCACTAGACAATATAGTACTCGATGGACGTTATCGAGTACTGTAGAGTCATAAACATGGAATTATAAAGCTAAGTAGCTTACGTCGATGAATATGCTCGACACTTCGTCAGCTTCCTTCTTTTGAACTATGTCAATGGCAACTTCCTGCATCATTAGAAGGAACGGAAAATTGTTTATCAAATGTAAAATTCAAGAAATGCACCAAGAAAGATTGGTAGATTAGGGAAACAAAGTTTTGCAATGAGAATTAAAGTGGTTTAATTTACATTTTTATGTTATTTCTAGAGTCAATAGTTGAAATTCGTCCATTTAGCAATTTAATAAACTCTAAAATCAGGTGGTTATTTGATATAGTATTAGAGTTGATGGTGACATAAAAAAATTGCTTATATAGTACATTTCAAGGAGGAAAAAGAAAGTTAGACACAATGATGGGAAGTATACTTTCAATACAAGACATATGAAGCCTAAAACATGAGAGGAAGCGATCTTCAGTACAAGAAATGAAATGATCAAGCACTACGAATGTCATCTAGACACAGGTTTCGTTATCATTTTATCGGACGTGATTATTCAATAGCACCGGATGCTATTAAGATATTAAAAAAAAAAAAGGAAAAAAGAAAGTTCAAATTTCATTCAATATTACATACCAAACATTCCCTTCAAGTATGCAAGGTGAAAATATAGAGAAAGGTGCTACCTTAGCATGATGGAGCTGCCCTTGATTCGGCTCGGTTTCAATGGAGCAGCGAAAATCCGCCATGGCTGAAACACAGAATATACAGTTTTATTACAACCAAAATTTCACATAATATATGCCCCTTGACTGCACTTGCAATAATATATTATATTATTCCACCGGAAAATTCACGGAGTATATATTTTGACGAAATTGAGGTCAATAATTAGATCTCGTGCATCGTCAATATGGTAAGGAACTTTTTTATGTGAAGCACAGATTTCATGAGGTCAATATCATCAACTGTTCATTGGTTGGTTGAGAACTTGAGGTCAATAATTAGGTGCTTTAATATTCTAGTTAAAGTGATGTTTTTACGGCCTCCCCGAAATTTAAGATATTAAATAAGGTTGAATTTATGTATCTTCCTCAATGTAAGTCGAATTGATTTTTTAACTATTGGTCTGGGATGAGTACAATTGTTACAAATAGGTGAAGTGACTTGACCACAAGATTTTTGTCAAATTTGGAGCCTGTTTGGGAGTGATTTTAAGAATTGATTTTTTGACCGTTAGGGGAAAAGTGGGGTTCACCTGTGAGAGAAAAAGTCAAATATGACGGCTGAAATAGTGAAATAACGATCAAAAAATCAATTTTTTGGGTGAAAAAATCGGGCCAAACAGGCCCGATATTTAAGTCGAACCGCATCATCTACGTTCTCAAGTTATTGATTTTTTAATGGGCCAGTACCCCCGATTCATAATGGGATTCTTTTGACTTAATTAATGGGCTTTAGTGATTAATGGACTTGTCACTTCTAGAATGGGCTGTAGTCTCGAATTCTGCTGCTTTCTATGTTTCAAGAGAAACGTTCGAACCACCTCGACATACGTCCTTTAACATTCAGGTGAGCAAGCAAAGTTTATATACATACTAGCAAGTTAAGATAATTTTCCTCCATTATAGTTACTAATAACTGATTTTAGTAAATGTACCTAAGTTGTAAGCTAGTAACTAGAGGATTGTGTCTATAGCCGTCTCAAAATTGGACTTCTACATCCACGATTGTTGTAATATTTTACCATGAACGATGACACGAGTTGATGACATGACACTACTATTTAAATAGGACAATACTACGTGTACATAAATTTTTTTTGCCTACTACTCACAATAGGGGTGGGGACTACATTTGAGAATTTTTATATTCACGCAGGGCTCGCATGCATTGCAAGAGGGGAGACAATTTCTGGTACATTCTATTCGGTGCAAATGGAATTGTCCGGTTAAATATAATGAGTAATATTTTGATCAGATTAAAAGTAATTCTACTTGCATTTGCCCTAGTTTATACATTAAGAAAGAAAATGGATTAGTGAAATTATCTTATCGCTTTTTAGTGTAGTTAATGTAAAAGACAATTGAGGGAAAATAATAATTGAAATCGATTAGAAATAACATGAAAGATCCTAGATTATCTAGATTAGCATTTCAAGAAATAAAATTAGCCGTGCAACATTGAAAAACAGTAATTTACTGTAAATGGAGCCACCAAAGATTTCAAGTTCAATTTACTTAGTAATTAATCAAAGGGAAGAAAAGAAAAACAAGAGATGGACCTGTACGAAATAAAATACTGAACGATCAATTAGTGACCTGTTGCCACTCTCCATCAACGGATTCTTTCCACAACGTTACACAATTTTTGCCATCAGCCACTGCAAGTGTATTCCTAGATAGCAACCAAGAGACCATCCAAACAGGAGGCCCGAAATCCTGCAAAACCTTACCAGCCCAATGGTCACCTTCCTTGGCTACAGTCCATATTATTGTTGAAAAAAATGAGTAAATGGCTCACTTTTGACAAAATTTTCGGTGGAATCCATTGATCCAATTTGGAAGATCAAAATTTATCTGTGATCTCCTCCGTGAGAGCATCAAAATCATGTATTTATTTGCCAAAAATGAAGCTTAGGTGAATAAGAAATTGGAGCTCAAAAATGACCATTGAAAGATGGTTTATGTTGGAAAAATGAGTTTAGTCCAACATAGGAAAAATATGAAAGCAAGAACCACTTTAAATATGACTATACATTGGAAATGTGTAATCATGTGTAGCATATAGGCTCTCTCCACGTGCGCATACGAGGGGTGCGAATTTCAGACCGAAATTGCTTTCGAATATTGAACTTGTGTACGAGCGCGACCTGCGTACACGAATGTCGGATCGAATGAAGTAAAAATTTGTCCCTTTGGAGAGCCCACGTTTTGCAATTTTTTTCTTGTTTTCTCCACTGACTTTTGAGTTTTTGAATCTCCAGAAACTGATATAACTTCAATGGTTAATGGACAAATTAAATCTATATAATTAAACTCAGTTTCCAACAATGTACAAAGATGAAAAAATTGTCCTCTTCCTCTCTGCATTTGTACCGTTTTCGCATACGCATATTTGTCCAGTAAGATCGTGGTGATATTGTTCAAATGTTGTATCAGTTCGTCGGAGTAGTTTTTGTGGTGTTCAAATACTACAGGTTTTACCGTTGTATCTTGAAAAATAGAAGCTCGGATTAAAATTCAAGTACGAACGGTGAGAGAGCGAGTCTGTTTTAAAGAAACTGTGCTTGCACAGGTCTCGAGTTAAAAGATTATTTTCCAAAATTATATGCTTTTCCAATTTAAGTTTCTGTGCATTTTGTTTTTGCAGATTTATATGCTTTCCAAATTTAATTAGTAGATTTATATGATTTTCAGTTGTGTGTCTCTGTAAATAATATAATTTGCCATACATAATTCTCACAATTTATATAATATATTTTGTATTGAAATGTGTTTGTGCAAATTAAAAATATATGTTTAATTCACTGCAAAAATCAATATGTTGCATATACGGTAAACTGTTGCATATACGATAATCTGGTGTAAATACGATAATCTGTTGTAAATACGGTAAACTGTTGCATATACGGTGATCTGTTGCAAATACGGTATGCTGCATATACGGTAGGCTATAAATACGATATGCTGTATATACGGTATATATAAATCCAACAAGTAAAGTTCATATACGGTATGAATGAATCGGTTTCATCCACTACACTAAAATCCAACAATTAGAACTCTTCCGTCTTGAGAAGCTAGCAATTTTTTACTTAGGAAGTCCCAGGTTCGGTGCCCAAGAAGCAACCCTCCCCCAATCGGTATGCATTTGAAGAGCTGGGAAGCAGTCCATCCTCCAAATTCCATTATCGAACTTCAAGCTTGCATTGTCACAGCCCCCTAATGCAAATTTCTGCACTGGGTCAAGCATACTAGAACTCACAAGAGCACCATGAGCCATTGATGGGGCCCATGAGACTGAGGTAACACGAACTAGATGAGCCTGATTAATTTGTGATTTGTTCCGTCCTCCATCAGATCTTTCTGTGAAGATAGAGATGTTTGCATCTGAGGATCCGTAAGCCAAACAAAGACCCAGCTAATGAGGGGCCCAGGCAACTGGATTGACAAATGCTTTCTGATCATCAAAAAGGTGTGCCTAGATCCACTCATTCTGGTAACCTTCTTTCCAAATTATAACTTTCCCATCATAAGAACGAGAAGCAAGAAGGGATCCAAACTTGGGATGGGCCCATGCTACTTGCCAAACTGGTCCTTGGTGACTAGCCAAAGTTGCAAGGTGCTGAGATCTTGAGTTGCTAACTCCAATTATCTTGATTGTGTTGTCTGAAGAACCTGTAGCAAGTCTCTTTCCATGATAATCCATCACCACAACGTGAACAACATCTTGGTGACCAGTTTCAATCTTTTGTCCGGGCATGTCTGATTTCACAGTAAATCTTGAATTTGAGGGCCACTATTTCTACAAAATTAGTTTGTTACTGTCACCCTTTACTCCTACAAGACTGAGCAAACTAGGGTGTCACTAAATGTCAGAAATTCCCACAAAATGTATACAGTATACTGTCAAATCTATCAGGGGAATGGGTTCAAATAAAAGCTATTGACTCGAAGCCTAAACAATTTACTAGAAGTCGCCCCCCAGGGCACTTCTCCACTGGCAAAGGACGGACGCTGTCAAACCTGGCAGAGCAGAGGTCGTGAGTTCGAAACATGGGGCTCTTGGAAGGCAAGGATTTATTCTTGGAAGGCAAGGGAACATTTGGAAGGCAAGAATTTATTCTTGGAAGGCAAGTGGGAACTTGGGTAAAAAAAAAAAAAAAAAAAAAAAAGATTTAAAACATCATTAATTGGAGTAAAAATGAAATTAAGGAAAATCTGCATTGAACAGACAATACATTATAAAAATTGACAGAAGAGTATAGTTTAGTTTTTCATTTTCATTTTTTGTCTTCATTTGGATGTTAGATTTCCAGCAACTTGCGGTGTAGCAAGGCAAAAATAAAAACCTTTAAATCATGTTTCATTGCAAAACAAAACATAATCACAGTAACCAACCTAACTCTGGGGATGGAAACTTTAAATGAGAGACATAGAGAGAGAAGGATAAGAGGCGGGGACGGAGCCAGACATTCGGCATTTTGGGATCAAAAATTGAAATACAATTTTTTTTAAAACAACATATCATTAATCACTACTACAATTGTAGTCTACACATTTTCATACTCTGAAAATATCGTCTAATTTATTAATATTGGCAAATACATCATTCTCAATATATGGAACTAAACTGTCACATAGCCATTGGTCTCCCATCTGATTACGTAGTCGATTCTTCACAATCTTTATTGCAAAAAATACTCTCTCTACTATAGCAGTAGCAACTAGAAGAATTAACGTCAATGTTACAAGCCTGTAAACCAATGAGTATACCTCTTTTTTTTCTTTTTCTCTTTTGTCAATACCAACTTTTCTGCAAGATCATTAAGGCTTCGTAACTCTTCAAAATATTTGTGAGTGCGCATATCAATAATTTATGTCTGAAGTTGCTCTTCAAATGTCAAGATCTCTACTGGTTTAAAATCATTCGGATAATACTCGCACAATTGAAGTAACTTGTCCTTGTTGAAAGCAAAAAATGAATTTTCCGGACATAAGCGTGCAATACAAAAGAGTAAGTCACTATTTACCTCAGAGAAACGATCATTCAACTCTTGAATTTGCATATCGATGATAGCATAGAAGAAATCTGCACGAAAATGATGTAGATTTGTTATTCCTTGAGTGTTACGCCATGAGCAACCTAGAGGTATAAACATATCATCCATATTGAGAACATCAATGTTGTGCCTTTCGCAAAAACAAGAAATTGTTTGTAAAAATGAGTCTCATTCATTGTTTCTTGTTGTTTGGAGTCGTTCTTTACATATTTTCACCAATTTCATAGCATTAACAATGTCTTGATCTCTTCTTTGTAATGATTTTGACAACTCATCTGAAATACTTAATACTTTTTTCATGAGATGCAAACTGAATACAAAATCAAATGTCAACATAGATTCCAACAGAATACGAGCTTCACCTATCTGTCCAAAACTAGTTTCTTCAGTGGCAATCATCTCAATGACATCAACTGTAGCAGAAAACATGAGAATCAAGCTAAAAAAAGAACTATAGTGAGAGCCCCAACGAGTATCGCCGGGTCGCTTAAGATTAGTTTCTTGATTAAGTCCCTTTCCACTTGAGATTTCACCCAGATTCAATGATTCAACAACTTCAAGCCTCTTCTTCTCTCGAAGAAGATCACACCGCTTAGTCGATCCTCCAATAACATTCACCACTTTATTCACTAAAGTAAAGAAGGTTTCAATCTCTGCATGTTTGTTTGCCACAGCTACAAGAACTAGTTGCCGCTGATGAGCAAAACAATGAATATAGAAAGCACTCGGATTCTCTTTCAAAATAAGTGCTTTAAGACCATTATATTCACCTCGCATATTACTTGTCCCATCGTAGCCTTGACCTCTTAAACTAGATATACTTAAGTTAAATCTAGAGAATAAGTGTTCAATGACATCCTTAAGTGAGAGAGCTGTAGTACTAGACACACGTTCAACACCGATAAAACGTTCCATTACTTGTCCTTTCTTATTCACATAACGTAAAACAATTGACATCTGCTCCTTCATTGAAACATCACGGAATTCATCAAGAAAAATAGAAAACAACCCATCACCAATATCTTTCATAATAACATCAAGTGTTTCAAATGCAATAGCACTCACAATATCCTTTT